TTTTCCGGGGGGGCATGCCCCCGGACCCCCCTAGAAGTGTCTCGCGCCTTCAACGCTCGAAAATCCCCCCCACTTTTAAAAGGCTGGCGCCGCCACTGGCAATAGTAGGATACGTCACTGATTATAATATTATATAGTCAAATCACAGCGCGACCTGAGCACGCTACGTACATGATTCTAACCATTTTCAAAAACCATATTATAATATTTAGTCTTCACACTCCTTGTAGTATTACTAACCTGAGATTCAAACGTGTCAAAAGTTTATCTGCTTTACAGTAATTGTCCCTTGTTCTCATGACTCATGTTCATGTGTTTTCTTTAAACGTCTATCACCTTTGTAATAAGTGGTTTTTGCCTGTTGGCAGACGCACCGTTAGCGTTGTTCAAGAGTTTGTAAACTCACTCCTAGAAATGTACAAATTTTCAAATACATGTACAAATACGCCGGCTCTTCTTTATACAGTATCTGCTCTGTAGTTTTATACTGTATATTTGGATTTATCATAGTTTACAAATTAGATTCGATAGGAATCGTTTACGAATACTGGATCAGTGCAATATTTTACAGTATAAAGATCTCGAACAGCCGGTCGGTTCTAGTGGCAGTGTAGGTAGAGAAAACGAGAAAACTACAAACAGCGAACCCGTTTAATTAATATAGCCTATAGGTTTATTAATAATTAAAGTGATTTTTATTTTGCAGGTAGTTATATGACTTGTATCACCTACAAATGCATACCAAAAGCCCATTATTTTAAGAACCTTCAGTGCTGGTGGCTAAATGGTCAACATATTAGCATTAATATAGTATCATTCAATAAAGGAAAGCTTTTTACTGCATGTTAAATTAGATTTTATTATTGCCAATACGTGGCCATTGTTGCCCGGCAGTGTTGCACAGCTTGGATTAAAAACACAATCGAGGCACGAAACTATTCGAACTCAGAAGGTGAGTAGTACGGTGACATGCACATACTATGAACCTCCAAACGAAGACACTTGATCGCTCGGAACACCAATATATTATTTTCATGTAGCTATTTCCGCGAGTTTCCGCGAGTTCCGAGACAAAGCACACTAAAATTTTAATTTTACATAAAATCACATACCTTAATTCATGTACACAATACATATCAATACATTAAGAAATATTTACTGAACACCGCTGAATTTTTATCAGCAGCAGGGATGTTGACATTCTCTGACTTCTCTTGCTACTTTTGAGTTTTCAGTATAGTCCAATGATCTGAAATAAGACTGGATACTGTATGTAAACGCATCAGTATACTATACAAAAGTGAAGCCGGAAGTCACCGGCCGCCACCCAATTCTGGGGTCTCACTTTTGTATAGATTTATTGAGTCATTGTTGCAGTAATTTGGATTAAAAAATATTCGATTATCACTCGTCTTCCTGCTTTAAAACATATAAAACTTCTCGACAAGTTGAGGGAATGCTCTTGACAAAATTGACATTTAAAATTGTTCCTTAATTTCGTTAAAATCCGCACGAAAAAAATAAAAATAGTATAAATCGTTTCGTAACTTTGTTGACATTTTTATTATCTAAGCCGCATTTTATATAGCCTCCTATACTGTATAGTTTCATTTATTTCAATCTTCAACGATCTCAATGACAGAATGAAATAGAACGCCGATTTTACGCTGAAAACGAAACCAGGAAAACTTTGTTTAGCAGGAAAACTTTCCTGATTGGCTGATACTATTCATGGAACAAACTTAAAGCTGTTTATGGTTTGAATTGAAACATTATAGAACAATTTTTTTTCTTGGAATTGACATCGCTGACCATGCACGTATATAGGCTATTCATGTATTATCATGAACAGCTCACTCGCACGCAGTTTTTTATCCAACAAATTCACAGGTTATATCGACCGTCCAAAGCGTAGGATATTTCAATATTAAATATCACTTGATTTCTGAGCTGATTTAGTAATATTTCTGATCGATGATTTCTTGAGGTAATTAATACAGGTTTTGTTACAGCGTAATGTTTGCATATATTATAAAATGTTTGCAATGTTTCACTCCCTCTAGTCTCTAGAGCCATTTGTGTTGCCCTTCTCGGCCACCGTAAATATCAGTATCGTGAAAATCTTTGTTTTGTGTAATTGTTTAATTGCTTACCTTTCACAGGCATTTTCTTTTTATACCATTTTCTGCGGCATTTTTAAATATGAATGTCTGCAATACAACAAATATGATCATACAGCCATTTGCAACCAGCTGCAGCTTCCGTTTTCACGATTGTGCTACACTCTACATCTATGTAAACAACGCCCAGCTATGCATGTCAACATCTATGTCACTATGTGTTTAAACTTTAAAGTATGCGTTCATCGGTCGGCACTGTTTACTGTTGAAGGGCGTACAAAATACCGTCAGTGAACGGTAACTCCGAAAAGAAAGTTTTAATCATCATCAGGAATGATGCCAGGCAAACATGCATTTACAGTAATGCACTTAAAATATAATTTTCCCCGAAGGGCGCACCGAAATATAATGTACTACTCAATAGGGCGTGCCTGGCGTTGCTCTGTCGCTTGTTCGACAATCTCTGCTCTTCTTTATGTCCTTTATTGTTTATATATGCGTAGCAGCAGGGTTTATTTTAACCGGTGCAGTTCTACACAAAATGTGCAGTTCTAAACCAATTTGTGCAGTTCTTAAAACACAAATGTGCAGTCACCAAACTAACAAAAATAGCCTTACTGTAATTACAGTAAAACAGTTTTGTCATTTACTCGTTACCCTTGTAGATCGATGCTCCAGAAAATTCCAGAAATGCTGTCATTAATTTAGCATTAAAAATATAAACGATTTCTGGGGGAGGACTCCGGCCAGACCCTCCTATTTTCCTCACAAATCATTTACGTGCTGGGGTAATGGAAAAGAAAGTAAAATTGGGGAAAGTGAAGCTCCCCAAAAGAGATTAGAGTGGGAGAACCTAATATTCTTTGCTGCCTCAAATGCAAATTTAAGGTTGTTATATATTGAATATTCATGATTCCCAGTCACATGTTTTGAAACAAAAAATCAGATCGCTTACAAACATAGGCGTACCGGGCGGGGGGGCGGGGGGGGGGG